ATGGGAGAGCAGCGTCCAGCGATGTCTCTGCCCTCTATCCAGGCTTTTAGCCCACTATCGTAGCGGGGAAAAGTGCAGCCTGCATCTTCCATTGTGGGCATAATACGTGTTAGCCTACTGGACTAGTCTAATGTGTGTGTTGTTGTGTGTGCGTGTCAGCTGGGGCAGGAGACTGAGCAGTCCCTGAATGCTCACTCCCTGCGAAGCCACATTAACCTAGATCTCCCACTCTCATCACTCAAGAACAACACAAAGACTACAAGTAGAGCAAAGCCAGTGTTTTATTCTCTTTATTTGAAATGTATCTAAACACGCCATTATCACAAGAACTATTTCTAATTAGTAACATTTCCCAAGAGATAACACATTTGGGAGAAATTTAATCAGCAGTGCTTTGAAGCAATAATCTACTTAGTATCAAAAGTCAAATAATGTCCTTGCGAAACATGTATTTCTTTGTGCTGCCTGTTGTGAGTCATGCTGCGACCTGAATGCTCCGACTTCCTCCAAATGACCAGTGAAATTAAGAGTAGGCTTGTGGGGTCGTGCCGATGAGCAGTCGGCGTTGCGGTGGAGGAGGGGTTCCTTCTTCTGAGGCGCTGTGTGAGCTATCGCTGCTGTTTGTGATTAACTTGCCATTTAAAGTTTTTTTTTTTTTTTTGTTATTAGCCGTGCCCTGTAACCCCAGCCCCCTCCTCCATCTGCTGCACCTCTGCCTGTCTCAGCCCCCTCCCTCTCCCTGTCCCGCACTGCGTTTGCCGACTTTGCCTACTTGCCCTTAGCCCCATGGAGACACAAAGTATTCATTCACTTTAGGATCCTGGGGTCACAGCAGGGCTAGCAGGGAGAGGCCAGCATGTCCGCTCCATAGACAGGTCAGGAATCTAACATGTAACTTCAATTTGGAGGTGGTTTGCTCACTTCGTTTTGCTTCTTTTCTTGCTTCTTTGTATAATGCAAAGTGAAAGACTTGGCATTTAGTTTCAGAGCAATATTACGCTATGAAAATTATAGATGATTTTGGTAACGTGTGCAAAATGCTGATAACAAAAATGATCCCATATTTATTTCTGTGTCTACATTTGATCTCTGTGCCTATTTGTGGGTCATTCATACATACAAAAACATGCAGCACAGTCCTGTATCCATGAAAGGCATTTTAAATGATTACCACATGTTAACCCAGTCTTTAAGTGCAGTGGCCGGTATAGCTCCATTGCGGTTTATTGGTTGTTCATTGGCTAAAGTCCCTCTTGTCTCTGGCTCCACTGTGGCCATGTATTTCTCAGTTTTGTGGTTTTATTAGAGGTAGCTCGCGAGGACATTGGAAGGAGGGGTGGTTTGTGAATATGTGTGGTTTTCGAGACTCTTAGGAGGGAGTGGGATAGGTGCGGGGGGGCTGGTCATCTTGTATATGGGGCAGAGAGGTGCTGATATGAGCACAGGATAATGCTTGAAAGCCCCCAGCATGGGTCCTGTGTCTCATTGTCCCGCTGTACACTCACGCCACTTTCATTTTGCACCCTCTAGTCCGGAGTCAGGCCAACTTTGATAAAAGGAACGGGTGCAAGACGTGTCGGGAGGGGCAGATTTGAGGAGGGGGGGAAAAAACAAAAAAAGGCAGATAGGAGTCTGTGAAGTGTGAAATAAGATTTATTTTTATCGGATCAGGAGAGGAGCTGGGGAGACGCAGAATGGCACCGTTTTGTGATTTCCAGTTGACACCTGGTTAAAATGATAACACCAGCCTTAATAATCATAATGAGGGTAATGAAAGCTTAGGCACACAGCCCTATAGCAGCTGTGGAGAGGCAGGCACTTGAGCAGGAAGAGAGGGAGTCAGTACTGTCCGCCTGCCCTGGACTCCTGGATAGACAAGATAATGTTTTTTAATATAGTATCATATAGGGCACGCTGCCTGTCACTGTACTTTGAGGAGCATGGAGCCTTTTTCAGGTAGGACGACATTCTTTTTTTTTTTTTGGTGAAGGCAGTTATCATCATAGCTTGTATTCTGCTGAGGCCAGAGCACGGAGGAGGAGCCTGACCTTGTGAAAGATATCTAGAGTGACTATTATTACTTGCTCCTCTCTACAGTCTGGGAAAGGCAGTACTGGAAAGTGCAGTGGTTACCATCAATTATTTATCAGGCCGTTTGTGCTTGTCAGTCTGATTAGCATTAGTGTAATCACTGCTCTTCAGGGGAAACGCCGGGACGCTCTCTCTTCTCCTCATCTGAAGGTAATCTCACCGTTTTCAGACTCTCATCTTCACCGGACGCCTCTTGCATAGCATCTGCTTTTGTCATCTGCACATATTTCTTTCTCTCTACCCCCCTCTGCTCTCCCTTGGTGTGTTGCTGCTCCAGCCCCCTTCCCTCCTCACCTCATTAATGCGTGTGTGACTCCCTGGTTCCCAGCTTGTATAGAGTGACACCTATGGGTGTTCCGGTGTATCTACACTCTCTCTGCAGCAGAAGCGGATGCCGGTGTGGCTGTCTGTGGGAGCAGTGAGTGAGTGGCAGGGCAGAGCTGAAATGTAGCCAGCTCAAGAACAGATGAGGCTAATCTCTGTGTCGACAGCGGGCTTACCCAGTTTGCATGATTAGATTAATGGAACTGTTTCATATCATTGTATTAGGATAGTTAATGAAGACAATTAATTAGAAGACAACCTTCAGGCTATTGTCCTTTACATTTGGGTTAGGAAATGGCCCCGCTGCCATAGCTCTGAGTGCTGCTTCTCATCTGCTCCCAGAGTTAATCTATGGCAAGGGTTGAAGCGTCTCTTCCTTTCCAATCCTTACTCTTAGGCCACTCATGACCTTTCATTAATTATGCCGAGTCCTGCTTTAATCATTCTCTAATGCTGAAGATGAGATGAGAAATAGGCAAAGCTATTTCCCACTTAAAGATTTAATACCTCTCTTTGAATTAAACGTCTGGATCTCTGCATAAATTATGGATTGTATTTTGAGATGTGCTGTAAGTGTCACTGTTTGATTTAATGTCTAAATAAAATATTCTTTGGGAGGACAGTGAGTGTAGAGGAGGGTGTAAGTGAACCCAGATGGCATTCGACTGTTAGCTGCCCATCATAGTAATGTTTGAGCACAAAAGCCGTCATGTGCCTAAAACGCGCCGTGTGAAGGCGTAGGTTGGGAATTAGTCGCACTACAAGTGTCACATAACTAAGAAATGACACCCTGCTCCTTTTTAAAGGTGAAAATTTTTACCTAGGGATTATTTTGTAATCTGAGCACCTATGCAGCTGTACAGTCTCCTAATGCGTGGAGTTGGGGGGAGATTTATGAAGGCGAGAGTTTGATGGGATTTGGGGACGTGGCTACAGATCTCTGCCTTTCTGCTCGCGTTTAAGATCTGCGAGCACCGGATGGAATTTATGTGTTGCCTTGGAAACATACGAGAAAGACGTTTAAAAATAAAAAAGAATCGACTGTATTTATGTCGGCAAAATCCGGAGATTGTTACAGCTTTTGACTTGAAGCCAGTCGGCCTTTTTGTTCCTGCTTTTAGTTTGACACAAGATCGTTGGATCTCTCGAATGGGTAAATCAAACCCACGTCTATGATGCCGTTACTTTCTACATGCTCACTATTCACCAAACAAGACATTAGTATTTATAGGGTATGATTGTCCAGTGCAAATCTGAATAGAATAGACATCATTTTGTTTTCCATAGGATGTTTGCTCTATTTTTATTTACTGTATCTGCTATTGATCATGATATAGACACATTATTTGAGCTATTAATACATATAAAGCAGCCTGATATAATTATATACATATAGATAGATATGTACATTTATCAATTATCTTGTTTATATTGTGTCTCTCAGCTTACACCGACATCAATGTGCTCCTTGTTTTCTACTTACAGTACGCCACATAGTGAAGTTTTTCCCATTAATGCCCAGTGTGTAGCCTGCGTTTCCTATAAGCGACATAAACAGTAAGGATAATGTAGCGTCATAAAAGGCGGTTCTGGCTGCGGCGGTGCATGTGATGGACTGTGTGATGACTAAAGAGCTGAATTCTTGAACAGGATATTTTCGTTAGACGTTGTGGCATTGTCAATACATCAATAACGGCCTGAGCGTGAAAGCGTTTTCAAAAGAGCGTTTAAGTACATTTGCGGAGAATTAGCTGACTTGTGTAATAACTGATAGGAGCCTATTGACCGCAGCCTAGTTTACTGTTGTCAAATCAATGCCATCATACGCAAGTCCCCACTACCTTTTAAACAAACTTAACAGGCAGAGGAGATGCTCAGGGGGCACTGGAGAGAAATAAACAAGATTGATGCCCTTTTTATTATCTGTTTTGCTATCTTTTCCTCCTGTGTGTTAGTTACAAATAGTGTTATCGAATATCCATTGTTTGGACTTCGATGCAGCTAAATGGCCTGATATATTGAGCGGAGGCTTTTAGGGCGGTTACAAGGGATTTCAGGCTTTGACTTGGCATAAGGGTAAAATGAATGGGGCCTGGACAGACCTTTAAATATTTATGCTTTTGCGTGATGGTAGGATGGAAGGGGTGAAATGAGCCTTGTATTGGTAAGTAACCTAGCAGATTGCAAGGGACAGTAATGTATGTGTGCGTTTGTATTCAGGAGAAGACGAAAGGGGATTGTCTAGTGAAAGATCTTCTGCTGAGATTCCTCTCAAACTACGCAATTATTTTTCCATACATACACCACACAGATATATTGTTCTAATTATGTTTTTCAAACTTGAGAAATACTGAAAGTGTGCTCAAATTGACAAAGTTTTGGTGTTCTTGTTTAACAGCATTTCAGACTAGGACTAAAATGAAGTCGGGTAAGGAAACTGGTTCAAACAATTGTGGGGACAGTGTGTCAGCAAATGTAGTCTGTGCAGCTCCTATAGAAAAAAAAAATTGCTACCGTCCCTTTAAGTGCTTCCACCAATTCTGATGGCGTGGTGATTTACATATCCCATCCTCCCTCCCCTTCAGGAGAGCTGAGCGAGGATGTGGAGGCTGCTAGTGAGACCACCACACACCAGGAGGACCAAACCAAAGAGGGAGAAAGTGGGGGGGACAAGGAGCTCACCAAAGGGACAGGTAAGGCCCACTTTCAACATGCACTTTTCGGGGGGAGTCTTCACAGTGACATTTGGGCAACAAACATCAGCTATTTAACGAAATGATCCACTCATTTGCAAATATATCACATTATTACAACTCTTTTTTTTGTGAGTTGCCAATTTTTTCACATTTTCTTTTTTTAGTTGTTGAGTATTTTAAAGTTTGATGAATGATTGAGATGCAAAATCATCCCCAGCAGGTAAATGGGGAGGTGGTCCTACTCTTAAAGTGGGCGGGTAAGAGGCGTGGGTTTTGGCTTGAGCAAAGTCCAGAGATCCAATCAGACTTCTTGAACCATATGAGCTTTTGAAAAAACAAGGCCTCCCATGAAAGTTGTTTTGAACCGTGTTTCATTTTACCAAGTAGATGGAATTGATTGGAAAAAAAAAAGTTATTGTCACGAAATTCATCATGAGAAAAAGTAAACATTTTGCGAATGCAGCTACAATAATGATTATAACTACGACAAAAAGATACAATTACTATACATCTTATGGCAGTCGTCCTTATTCTCAAGTGGACTGTGAAGATCTGTTTTTCAATTGTGATTATTTAACTTACGTCTGGTTTCATATACCATTGTCAATCATGTGTTGCTGTTAGAAAAACAGAGCTTCACACAAAGTAAGACATGTCTGATGCAATAGAAGACATTTGTGCTAATAATGACACTGAACAGAAACAGGCCTGAGTGGATGCTTTTCACTTGTCTAACTTCTTGTGTTACTGCAGGATGTTTTGATTTACACTAGTCAGGTTAAAAGCTGGAAAACAATTTAGACCTTTTGCATACCTAAGTTTTTTATAAAGTGCAAGGGAAAAACTTCATCACAGTGTTTGAAGCCCTGCCTTTGTAAAATGTCTTTGATATCCGAACTTCTATTTTAAATGAGGCTGAGTTGTTTGTGCTCTTTGAAAGGGCGACACTCTTCTTTGATGGAAGAAATAATGATATGCATGCCTGACTGAATATGGCTAAAAGTATGTTTTAGCACATCAAAATAAAGCACTTTAAAAAGCATTAAAATGAGCTGGCCGATTAATAATTCACTCATACCTGTGGTGCACAGGAAGACGACTCCTCGCATTAGGATTCCTCCTTTTTGAAAGGCATGCAATTTGATACAAGCATATTCAGTTCCTTTCCTACCCTCTGTCAGTCGCTAATCACCAAATAAGTGTGTTTCTGTGTTTCCACAAAGGAAATATGTGCTGCATATGAAAAATTTACAGCTTCCCAGCAGCTTATTAGAAACGCTTAGTTAAAAATAGCATGTGCATTAGGGAGCAGGTCTGAGGTTGTGTTTGATGTCAGTGAAAGGTGCTGTGGAGGTTGGGCTGCTGGGTTCAAGGCTGTGCTGTCAGCGAAAGCTCGACAGCTGGAGTTTAATGGAACGTCCTGTCTGCAGCAAACTTTTTCTCATCCAACAAAGGTCTGATGAAATAAAAAGCCGTATGTAAATAAACCACAAGACAATGGAGTGTTCCTCGTGGACTTCTCTTGGTCGTGTGTTTGACTCAGAGCTCGAGCGTGTAGAGCAGTGCACTTGTGTGGACCTGTTATTACAGTGGTGCGCATTCAGGAGGGGAGATGTCTCTAATGTCCATCATTAGAAGAACTGAAGTATTTTTCTCATGGTTGTCATGTTAGTGTTGGAACAGAGCACAACATTGTTCCTTTACAAATGACAGTCACTGTCAGCAGACGGCACGAGAGAACAAGAAGAAAAGGCTGCCTCCCTTTTAAAGCCACTGTCAATCTTGTTTTCTCTTTCTTGTTCTGCTGCTCCTCACTATTCATTAAAATCATTTAAAGCTACATCACAAGTCTTTGAAGAATGCATATGTATTTGGCATGTCATCTCCTGAAAGATGCGTTCATTATACCTAGCTTTTTATTAATCCAAAGTATACTACTATGTGTGTGTGTATGTGTGTGTTTGTGTCAATTTCAACATTTAAAATATATCATATTAGTTCTGTAGGTTTTTAAACACAATTCCAAATGTAGGATATATAACACAAGATAAAAATACAATTTTGTGTGTAAAAAACCAGATCATTTTTCATATTAGTAATTCAAAGGGTCATTTTAATGCTGTCTATTAAATATGTATGAAGAGAGAGCATAAGCCCCTGCTCATAAGTTCTTCACCTCGCTGAGACAGCACCGGCACAAGAGCAGCACTGGAGCGGACCAGCCTTCATTAAAACAGGTTGTATTTATGCAGCAGATTAGTGTACAGAGTCTGTGGAGAAAGGGAGCACTAAGAATGGAACCTCTTTGGATTAGTAAGCCAGGCTTAGGTCTGATAATTATGGAGAGAAAACTGGCATTCTTACGGCTGTTTGCTTAAATTTGGGGCTGAGTTTGGCCCTGGTGGTTTGCTTCTTTGGACACGACAGTGTTGCTGTGTGCTGAGCAGAAGTAAGAGGGCAGCATGCCGCCACGCTCCCATTTAGTGGGCTTAATAAACATGCTGATTAGCATCCTCTAGATGGAGCACAGTGGCATTACAATTCACTCACTCCTCTTTCTCCTCCAGTGCGTTCTGCTGTAGGAACAGTGTTATATTCAAGTTAAGGCTGTAGTCTGTGCCACACTGCCTTTGTGATGTGTTATTGATTTGTTGTTAAAATTCATGTAAATGATGAAGTATGAAGATGCAGCGAGAACAGTGTGAGGGTTTTATATTTCCATATCACGTCCTTTTAGTGCATGTCATTCCTCAAATTCTAATTCCCTTTGTCTTTGAAGATAATGGCTCATAAATTGTCCTTGTTGTGAGCCAGTTCTTGAAAGCTCATGTTTATGAGTTTTGCCCAGAGGTGTTTATTGGATAAGACACTGTGTCTCCTGCAAAGGTGAACGCTGCCGTCCTGTTGTTCTGTCATCTCGAAAAGAACTCTGCTTCTGCCAAATTACTAATAACACTTTTCCAAATGTAGAGTAGTTAACAGAGTAGGATCCTTAGTACGACATTAAGCCAGTCCACTAAAGCCTAAAATGTTAATGTAGGGGAAGGTTCAATTTCAGTAAAAGTGCATGTTTACTGCTTTGAAGAAGAACAGTTTTCTGTCAGGATTCCAAAACTATTATGAATGCTGAGAATAATATAGAGTCTTGCTTTATAAGGGGAAAGACAAGGTGCCAAGGTCCAATTCACTTACGGGACACAACGGCACAAGTGCCTCTGGTTTACGGAAAACTGCCATGAATTAATAATTGCCCAAATGATTCATAAACACGGCTCTATTTGTGCTCTCGATACTGTATGGATGAAATAGTTTGAGCGAGTTTATAATGGTTCTTTTGAGATTTGACTTATTTCTTTAGATATATTCATGTAATTTCAACATTCAATTTAAAGCTCACATGAGTCAATGTATATCAATTAATTTATACTCTGATTATTAGGAAATTATACAAATGTGAGCTTAATTGCAATTACTATCATCATTGTTTTTATATATATATATATATTATATAATATAGCGAGATCCTGGGTTGGTCCAGGGCCTTGTGGGGAATTTGCATGTTCTCTCTCCATGTTTACATAGGTTTCCTCTGGGTGCTACGGTTTCCCTGACCACTAAAAATATGTTGAATAGGTTATAGTGTTGTGTGTTGTTGGTGCTGGAGGGTCCAGCATGTGCCTCCTGTGTTCAGGCGACTCCCACTGTGTGTGTGGAGCGATTGGAAAAAGCCCAACACAATTGTAAAGCACTTTGTGAGTCTCTGTCTGTGTAAAGAGCTATATAAATACAGATTTCTTACTTACCTACATCTTCTGCCACGCTGTAAAGAATAATTTTAATAAAATTAAATGGAAAATTACGCATGAGGGGACACTTGCACCCACTAGATTAAAAAAACAATGTATATAAATGCGTATTACATAAGTATTCACACTACACACATGCACAGTTTAAATACTGTTATGAAGCACCATGTGTGCCGTGCTGGGGGTTTTGCTCTAGTGGACTGTGGTGAGACTGTGTGCAGTGACTGAAAGGTTAATGTCCGAAAATGGGAGGTTCCTTTTGCTTAACATTCCCTGTGTTTATTGGCGGATATGTTTAATGGGATTGAGTGTGACTGGACGTAATAGGGCCTCCCTGGCTGATCCCGGTGTCTGCGTCCACAGCCTGGTTTCACACTGGGTAATCAGTTCAAATGGCCCGCTGCTTATTGGAGGTGACGTTTTAATGTCTCCGGCAGGAACATGGTCAGCCCTCCTTAACCTGAGCCCCAACCACTGCCCATCTCCCCATGCACTCCATTGCACTCTGTTCTCAATTTGCCCTTTTAGGACTGTACAAATCAGGTCAAATACAACTCTTTATGGTCTTGTTAGGGCTCAGCCAGGACATCTTCTTAAGTTTCATTGCGAGTTCTCTCAGTCAGGGACAAAGCATCGTTTCTATGCTAGCATTTGAACCTAATAATGTTGTACAGAGTTTTAAATAACAAAATACATAGTTTAATCACTATACATACTCTTAGTGTCTTTCTATATAATAATAATTTATACATCCTAACCATGTTTACACTTTCCTTGTGTCTATGTGTAGCCTGTAGTAGCAGTAACACACACTCCATCTTGTCTGTCTTCATAGTGTACTTTGCAGTCAGTATCATCAATATATGTCTAACTGTAAAGAACTATGTTATTGTAGAGTGAAACTTAAAACTGCCCACTGTGAGAGACTAATATTATCATTTGAATTCTTGTGAGTTGGATGAAGTAGGCGCCAAAGCTTCAAGTGATTCTCAACCCAGTTTAACAGCTCATATGTCCTGGTTAACACGCTTGAAGAAGACATTATTTGCAAAATTCATTATTTATCAACAACACTATTGATTAAGCCTTGTCTTGTCTTTATATTGTAGTTTTCCTCTATTGAGTCAGTGGTATTTGAAGTGCATATAATAAGTGCTCTATTTGTATAAGAACTACAAATGCAATGCAGTTTCTAACCTATGTTAATGTGTTTGTGTTTTAGCTGCGTCCGGCCCCTTTGAGCGGCACCAGTCAGAGTCCCCTGTCCTCTCCAAAAGACCTTCCTCTCAGGCCGAGACCTCCGAGAGCCCCTTCACCGCCAAGCGTCCCAGGACAGCAGAGAAGAGCGCTTCGGAGCAGGTGAGAAATCAAGGAGCGAAATCCATAATTAAACTGATGGATTTAGTTCAAACGCCTGTGATTAGGCGATTCTTGCTAAAGGTTATCTTGTCCTCATTTACCAAGGTCTCATTAGAAACCTCAAAACTTTAAAGTAAAAAATACAGCTAATTATTTTTGGGTTAGGCTCCTCGCATTTCATTATTAAGTAGAGATGTATTTTTTATTTCTATTTTCTAATTGTGAGGAAAGAAATGAAGATGATTTTTGACAGATGAGAGCACTTTGAAGTGGGTGCCAGGACTTGTCAGCTCACACTATCTCAAACGCTATGATCATAGGGATGTGTCCGCTCGGGTTAGAAGGCCGCTCCCTCTCTTCTTTATGCATTATACATTGCATTAGATCGATGCATTGATTATAAATGTATGTAAATAAAAAATATGTTTATTTTTTTTCTCAGATGTACCAGTGCCCCTACTGTAAGTTCACCAACACAGACTTGAACCGGCTAAGGATGCACGTGATGACGCAGCACTCGGTTCAGCCCATGCTCCGCTGCCCCCTGTGCCAGGACATGCTCAACAACAAGGTCCACCTGCAGTTCCACCTGACCCACCTGCACAGCGTGGCACCCGACTGTGTGGACAAGCTTGTAGCCACAGTAAGTCTGCTTCATGGGGTTGATCTCCTGTTTAGAGTAATGTCATATTTCCCAAGTTATTCTTCTAAACAAAGTGAACATGCTTGCTTTGTTGACAAATATATTCAAGAATTGTAGTATACTTCAATATACTTATACTACCAATATGACTAATAATATGACCTTTGTCCATTCTCCATCACAAGCAGTAATGGGCATGGTTTGTCATAGATGATACAGTTTGTTAGGAATACTGTAGATCTCTTGATTTTATATGATTTATTTAATTACGTGGCGGTCTGCTAGAGATGAAGATGACTCACTCTAGTTTTTATTAGACCCCTCCGGTCGACAGCTCACTCAGCCCTTAAAGTCCTTGTTATTTCTGTCAGCCACCCTTTAAAATATATATTATTTATTTCTTCATCAAACTGTAAATGCTGTTAACCCTTTTAGATGCGACGTGTGATGTGAAAAAAACAAAAGTTGTGCATATAGAGCACTCCGAAAATATATATGTATGATACAAGAAAAAAAAACATATGTATGGGAACAGAAGCCGGGCAATTCTGTTACTTTGGCACTTGAAGTGTTAATTGTAAAATGGCTCCAGGCAATCCCATTGGCTCAGTAGAGATGATTGTCTTTAAAGATGCTTCTTTCTTTTCATTGTCTTAACGTGCCTATCATCAGAGGCTTATTTCACCTCTCTTGTAATCACAGTCATTAAAGGTGAACTCTGCTTTGTATTTTAATGGTTTGAAGATGAGCAAGTCTTCCTCTTGTTCATGTATGACTTCACTTGACATTACTTTCATGTCTCAGATCAGCAGACTTCTAATGAAAACAGAATTGCAATTAGGAGAAACTAATTGTGACAATGTTTAAAAGAAATATTAAACACTTCTTCATCAGAACAAAAATAGAGACAGTCATAATAATAGGCCATTTTCCAATCAAAGTTCTGCCACCTTATATTATGGGCTCACCCATGCTAGGCTATACACAGTATGATTTATATCAACTGCAGTGCACCCAGCAAGGGAGACACTCACTGCTCTGTGAAGGGAAATCAAATTTTATTTGCCCTGTTTTCTTGTAAATCACTGAGCAAATCTTTGCTCTGGTCTGTGCCGTGAAACTAAATGGCTTGCTGGACAATCACAGAATAAAACATTGGTCTATCTGCTGCCCGGCCATCTCCCAGCTCCATCTAGTGAGTAAATGGCACACACATTAGTATGGTAGATGGCAATATTTATTTCTTTTATAGAGGATGTAATATACTGAAGTACTATGAGGGAACCACGGTCGTAGAGGGGTAATATAAAGTGTATTAGACCAGCACCTTTTATAACAGAGAATGTAGATGGCAATGTTGTTCTTATCTATGTCACGCTACCATTATATATTATAGATCTGAGACAAATTACATCCTATTGTCTATGCATTTAGTTTAGCTGAACTGACTTCCTTCCATTTCTATTTTTGAAATGACGATAATCCAAATATTTTGTCTCATTAATTCTGAGTATAATTGGGTGATGGCCATTTTGAACTGTTTGCCAATTAGGCAGTCCAAATTAAAAGTGACCTTGGGATATGCTGCTTGTTCCTCTAATTGGCAAATGAGGCCGTTGTCCAGAAGCACTCCACTTTTAATGACCTTTTGTGTTTGTTTTGAAAATGTTGAGTACCATATTAACCCTTTAGGTGCCAGAGATTGTTTTGTTTTTTTCAGAAATTTGATGTGAAACAGATACAAAGTGGAGCACTGAAACTTCATACGCAATAGCAGAATCAATAACAGAAATAAATATCTAAACGATATCAGGAAACGTGTATAGAAAGTGCTCTGGATTCTTATTATCTAATAATAAAGTGCCTTTTTTAGATTGCACTGCCAATATTCAGTCATTTGGAATATGATCACGTTTAACTATCTAACATCATATTAGCATTCTGATGTATTTTACCTTTGATGATTCAAACTAAAAAAATCTTAAATTGTCACCATTCCACAAGATTAATACTCAAACTACTTTGTGCTTTGTCTTCTAAGGTGACGGCATCAGAAGCATTGCCAGCCAGCATGTTCATACCTGTACCAAGTCCTGACAGAGAGTCCCATAGCACCCCACAGGGAACAACCAACTCCCACTGTGAAGAAATGAAAACACAAACTGGTTAGTATTGCACTGTTTTTTATACATGTGCATTCTGTGACAAATATAATGTTGACTTGTTTTGGAAAACTAATGTAATACATATTTTTTGTTCTTCATAGAAACTACAGATTTGGATATTGAGAAGAGTGCATCTCTATCAGAAATGAACGAAGCACGGAAGTCACCCCCAGAAGACCAACAACCAGAAAAAGATGATGCTACTGGATTCTTGTGCTGGAAAAAAGGCTGCAACCAAGTGTTCAAATCTTCCAATTCGCTTCAAAATCACTTTAATGAAGTCCACAACAAAAGACCCCAGCTACCTGTGTCAGATCGTCATGTCTATAAGTATCGCTGTAACCAGTGTAGCCTTGCATTCAAAACTGTTGAAAAGTTGCAGCTCCATTCTCAGTATCATGTGATCAGAGCCGCTACTATGTGCTGTCTGTGCCAGAGGAGCTTTAGGACACTACAAGCATTGAAGAAACATCTGGAAACCAGTCATCTTGAACTGAGCGAGGCAGATATACAACAGCTTTATGGTGGATTACTTATGAATGGAGATCTTATGGTTATGAGCGATCTAGCTCTTAGTGAGGACCCAAGCATGCTGGGGGAAGATGAGAAAGATGGAGAAGAAAGTGATCCTGATGAAAAACAAAGTCCCACAGGAAGTGACACAGGTTCCCTGCAAGAGGATTCTGGATCTGAACCTAAACGTGCTTTACCTTTTCGAAAAGGCCCCAACTTTACCATGGAGAAGTTTTTGGATCCATCTCGACCTTTCAAGTGTACTGTTTGCAAAGAGTCTTTTACACAGAAAAACATCTTGCTGGTTCACTACAACTCAGTCTCCCATCTGCACAAAGTCAAGCGAGCACTTCAGGAGTCCACTACAGGCCAGCCTGAACCCACGAGCAGCCCTGACAACAAGCCATTTAAGTGCAGTACGTGTAACGTTGCCTACAGTCAGAGCTCTACTCTGGAGATACATATGCGCTCAGTCCTGCATCAGACTAAGGCTAGAGCTGCAAAACTGGAAGCAGCCGGAGGAAGCACTGCATCTGCAAGTAACTTAACTGGTGGAGGGTCAAGCAACAGCACTTTAACACCTAGCCCAAGCCCTGCAAGTACTTCTACGCCAACGTCCACAAACCATACATTTTCCACCTCACAACCTGCTCAAAGTATGCATGGAGGAAACCATGTCAGCCATGGCCATGGCCTTGAAAGTCTGGGGAACTCATCTGTGAGTAGTCAATCTTCCCTATCAGACAATAACCAAGTGAAAAAGTCTAAATTATCTGAGCTGATGTCGGCCAAAAGCCAGCAGCAACAGTTGCAACAACAGCAGCATCAATTAGCTCAAGCTCAAGCCCATGCACAGGCCCAGCTCCAACAAGAGCTCCAACAGCAGGCTGCTCTGCTCCAGTCCCAGCTCTTCAACCCAGCACTATTGCAGCACTTCCCCATGACAACTGATGCACTTCTACCACTTCAACAGCAGCAGTTGTTATTCCCCTTCTATATCCCCGGTGCAGAGTTCCAACTGAACCCAGAGATAAGTCTTGGCCTGGGAGGGTCCTCTACCAGTTCTCTGTTGGAAGATCTCAAAAACTCCCAACAAAGCTGTCTGCAACAGCAACTTATGCACCATCACCTTCAACAACAACAACAACAGCATTCTCAGCAGCAGGCTCAGGAGCAAATGGCACTTCTGCAACAGAGCGCAGCCCTCCTTCAGCAAGCAGAGAGCAAGCATAAAGCATCCAGTTCTCAAATTGACAGGGAAAAAGAACCTCAGAAAGATAAAGACTCTGACAAAAAAGAAGATAATTCCAACAAAGAGTATACAGATAACAAGATGAAAGAGAAAAAAGACATTCAGAACTTGACACTTAACATGAATCATGACACAGGCATGTTGCCACCAAGAATTGCTTCTGATGCTCGTGGAAATGCAACCAAAGCCCTACTTGAGAATTTTGGCTTTGAGTTAGTAATCCAATACAATGAAAATAAACAGAAAGTCCAGAAAAAGCCATCTGGGACAACAGGACCAAGTGGTACAGGCGGTATCACAAGAGTGGTCGATCCTGTGGAAAGATTGGAAAAACTAGAATGTGAGGCTTGTGGGAAGCTCTTTTCAAACATCCTAATTCTAAAGAGCCACCAGGAGCACATTCATCAGTCCTTCTTCCCTTTTAGATCCCTTGAGAGATTTGCCAAGGAATATAGAGAACATTATGACAAACAGTATCCACTGAGACCTTCTACACCTGAACCAGCTGCTGCTCCTGCCCCACCTGCTCCACCTCCTCCACCTCCGCAAAGAGCTCCCACCCCAAACATTCCTGTAAGTGCAGCTTCGCTCACGCCACCCACTGTCCCCACATCCCAGGCACAAGTTCAAATGGCACAAATACAAATGCCTATGGACCTGCCTTTGTTCTCTCCCCTGATGATGCAGCCCATGTCCCTACAGTCTCTGTCTGGTCAACTGCAGCCGCAGTTGCAGTCAGTGGAGCCGGGCCTTGCCTCAGACCTAGCCCAGCTTTATCAGCAGCAGTTAACCCCAGCCATGTTGCAGGCACAACAAAACAAAAGGCCAAGAACACGCATCACAGATGATCAACTCCGTGTGCTGCGACAGTATTTTGACATCAACAATTCACCAAATGAGGACCAGATAAAAGAAATGGCTGACAAGTCTGGCCTGCCTCAAAAAGTAATAAAGCATTGGTTCCGAAATACTCTTTTCAAAGAGCGGCAGCGTAACAAAGATTCTCCTTATAACTTCAACAATCCACCTACAACAACTCTTGAAGATACAAAAGTCGACTCAAAACCACCCTCTCCTGAGCCGATGAAACATGAATATTATGGAAGTAAGAGATCTTCCAGAACAAGGTTCACTGACTACCAGCTTAGAGTCCTCCAAGACTTTTTTGACGCCAATGCATATCCAAAAGATGATGAATTTGAACAACTGTCCAACCTACTGAGCCTTCCCACTCGAGTAATTGTTGTGTGGTTCCAAAATGCCCGCCAGAAGGCCAGAAAAAATTATGAAAATCAAGGCGAAGGGGCCAAAGAGGGAGAGCGGCGGGAACTTACAAATGATCGCTACATCCGCACCTCAAACTTAAACTACCAATGTAAGAAATGCAGTTTGGTATTCCAACGCATTTTTGATCTGATAAAACACCAGAAAAAGCTCTGTTACAAAGACGAGGACGAGGATGGACAATATGACAGTCACAATGAAGATTCAATGGAACTTTCCCATGATTGTTACACTCCCTCTGGGTCGTCCTGCCATACTCCAATGCCCTCCTCTTCTAGCCTATGTCCACTTCCGACTAGTAATTCAGCTTTTTCCCAGCTTGCATCCAACGAAAGAGAAGCAGCATCGCCAGCTACGTCATCAAACTTATATGATGATAAATCTAAACAAATTCCTGACATCTCATCTGACCCAAGAGAAAATCAAACCACTATCAAGCAAGAAGTTGTCCACCAATCCCAACCTGAGGCACAGCACAGAACTCAAAGAGATGAGAAGATTCATAGCCTCACAAAATCTCTGAAGCACTCAATGCCTTCATTTTCTCAACAACAAGCACAGTGCGGCCCATCGAGCTCTCAAACTAGCCAGGCCCCATCACAAAGCTCTCACATGGGACTAAACCCTCACCTCACCTCCGCTTCACAACAGCTGGCCCAGCACATGATCCCCTACCAGTGTGAGCAGTGCAAGATTGCATTCCCTTCTTTTGAGCACTGGCAAGAACACCAGCAGTTACACTTTCTTTCTGTTCAAAACCAGTTCATCCACCCTCAGTTCCTTGATCGCTCAATGGACATGTCTTTTATGTTATTTGATCCTAGCAATCCTCTCTTGGCAAGCCAACTTCTCTCAGGGGCTATGTCACAGATCCCTAGCAGCTCTGCCACCTCGCCTTCCACCCCCACCTCCACTATGAACTCTCTCAAGAGGAAGTTAGAGGAAAAAGCTGGCACAAGCCCTGGTGAAAACGACAGCACAAACAGTGGAGAAGAGCCACAGAGGGACAAAAGGCTTCGAACCACTATCACACCTGAGCAGCTAGAAATTCTCTATCAGAAATATTTATTGGATTCTAATCCTACTCGGAAGATGCTTGACCACATTGCCCATGAGGTAGGCTTGAAAAAGAGAGTGGTCCAAGTGTGGTTTCAGAATACAAGAGCAAGAGAAAGAAAGGGCCAATTCAGAGCAGTGGGGCCTGCCCAAGCTCACCGCAGGTGCCCCTTCTGCAGAGCTCTGTTCAAGGCAAAAACAGCACTGGAGGCCCACATTCGATCTCGACACTGGCACGAAGCTAAAAGGGCAGGCTATAATCTCGCTCTTTCTGGTATGTTACCTGATCAAGATCTAATTCCAAAAATGGATGTTTTGGACCCAACAACCTTTTCGCAGATGCTCTCTGCTAACAATGATGTGCAGAGTGCATCCATGTCACCTGTGAACAAGGGCTTGGATTTGTCTCCAAGGGCTTTGCTCAGCCCCTCATCTATTAAAGTAGAAGGAATGGAAGATTATGAGAATGCTATGTCCTCTGTCAACTTAAGTTTTGATCAGAGCAAACTTGATAATGACGACTGCTCCTCTGTGAATACAGCTATCACTGACACTACAACTGGTGATGAAGCAAATGCAGATAATGACAGTGCTGATGCTAAGCTCAGCCAAAATAGTAGTGATTACCTATCTAAGTCTGGGGGTGCAATTCCTCTGCTTGAAAATGATGATCACATGTCCTCAGGGCTGGTAAGCCCTGCAAGCTATTATGCTAAAGACTATGAGAATGAACACATTATTGACCACAGTGAGACATCCAGCCTTGCTGACCCCTGCTCTCCAAGCCCAGGAGCTTCTGGCAGCAGGAGTCTGGATGGTTCAGATCGTCCTGGCCAAAAACGCTTCCGAACCCAAATGACAAACCTCCAGCTTAAAGTGTTGAAGTCTTGCTTTAATGACTATAGGACGCCCACTATGCTGGAGTGTGAGGTGCTTGGCAATGATATTGGACTTCCAAAGAGAGTGGTTCAGGTGTGGTTTCAAAATGCTCGTGCCAAGGAGAAAAAAGCGAAACTCAACATGGCAAAGCATTTTGGGATCAATCAAACGTCTTATGAGGGACCCAAAACAGAGTGCACCTTGTGTGGTGTCAAGTACAGTGCTCGCCTCTCTGTTCGTGACCACATATTTTCCCAGCAGCATATTGCTAAAGTCAAAGACACTATTGGCAGTCAGATTGACAAAGAAAAAGAATACTTTGACCCAGCTACTGTCCGCCAACTTATGGCCCAGCAAGAGATGGACCGTATAAAAAAAGCCAATGAAGTTTTAGGACTGGCTCAGCAGCAGGCCATGCAGCAGCAGGGGATGTTTGATAATCCTGCTATGCAAGCTCTGAATCTCCAGTCTGCTTATCCAAATCTACAAGGCATTCCACCTGTCCTGTTGCCTGGGGTTGGAAGCCCCTCTCTATCCAGCTTTAATTCGTCTAATTCAGGTAATTTTTCAGGTTGTTTAAAAATGTCTTTAATTTCTTTTTTACATCAGGCACAGGTAGATGAATAGATAGATAGATAGAAAGATAGTTACTTTATTGATCCCCTCAGAGAAAACATACCCATCCATACAAACAAAACAAAAAAATTGATCATTCTAAAAAGCTAACAATAGAAATAATAAAATGCAACAGCATTTCACAGCAGCAGAGGAGGAGTAGCCGCTTGGTTCTGCTCCAGTCCAAAGTAAAATGCTGAATGCTTCATTAGCATCTGGTCTGGGGCAGTGCAAAACCATGAACACTGTACTGCAGCAACCTCTCAGGTAGAAAAAAGCAAGAAAAATAACAATTGTAAAACAAAATAATTCAGAGCTACTTAGGACCTGCAGCCGTTTCCAGTGCATTAAAAAGGTATAACACTGAATTGACAGATGCAATTGAACATTTATGACATTGAGACTATTTCAAATGTAGACTTAAAGTATACATTCTTTTGCATATTTGTTTCATGTTAACATGTCCACAAATATACATATATTTTTTTCTGAACGACCACAATAAAGTAAGAGACAACTGTGAAGTGACCCTTGTTCTGCTAAATCAAAGCACTCCAAACTAACTCTACTGTGAGATAGTGAGTAGAATACAGTGAGGTGGGCTCTAGTCTACCATTAGAGAATTGTCATTGGCTTTTCAATGCATATAAATTCTGCATGTTTACTGTACATCAGAAACTTGTAGATGGTATGCAACATTTTGCTTTTAAAAAATTACAACGTTTTGAATACGCATTACTTGAAACAGTTCTCATGTGGCATTGTATAAATAATGTATATAATAATATCTTATATAATATATAAATGACCACACCAGCTTCTCAAAACCTCATTTAATCAGATTTCTGAAGCTAAGCAGTGCAGGGCATCCTTAGTTCAGTGATGGGTAAGCTCTAAGACACAGTTAGATGATTGTGGCTCTTTGTGAATTAGGATTGTCAAATTAAAAATGTATGACATAGTGAAGTGTGGTCACGGTCTTCGTCCTTTTGAAGTCAAAACAGACGAGTGTGATTGTATGAAGTCAAAAACAGCTTCCAACAAAAAACATCCACCTTTTGCAATGTGTAGTAAGAGACCCCATCAAGTCTGCAGTCAGCGTGCAGAAGTGTCAGTCAGTGTGACCCAGGGCTATAATCCACTTTAACTCACCTGGCATGGTCAAAGAAGATACACTATTATATCTTCATACTGTATATATCAGAATCAGAATCCTTTTATTGCCATGTGAGGAAGTCACAGACTAGGAAATTGCTTTGGCTCTCGGTACAAACAAGTTAAAGCAGAATAATCAAGTATAAGTATAAGTCATGCATAAATAAAAATCTTTTATTCTTTTATAATCTTTTATAAATTTATCTTTTATAAATTTCTTCAGTTTACTATATACAAGTGCACTAGGTGCACACAATAGACCGTTAAGAGTGCGGTAGAGTGCAGTAAAGTGACAGTAGCATAAAGTGACAGTCAGAGGTCAGGGGTGGTTTATGAAGTGTTCATGAGTCCAACAGCAGAGGGGAAGAAACTGTTCTTTTGGCGGGAGGTTCTAGTCCTGATGGACCGCAGTCTCCTGTCTGAGGGGAGTGGTTGGAATAGTCCATGAGCAGGGTGAGAGGGGTCAGCACAGTATAATATCTACTTCAAGGAGTCGACAAAAATTGTCTTCTCATTTATTGTGACAGGGCGATTCCTGCTAAAGTCCATCTCTTTAGTATCTCTTTGGTCTTTGACACATTCAGAACCATCTCTTCAGTCTGTGTCAAAATGACTTATGCTGGCCTGGTGCTGCAGTAGAAATCATGAGCTGGGTTATGATCAGTGCTTCCAATGATGGGCCTTGGGCCTCCTGCTGTCTGTGTCTGTACTTCAGAGCAGCTACACAGATTGTCTTCACCACAAACAATTAAGAATTAAATAATATCAATACCGCAATACTGTATCAATACCGATGAAGTAAAACTTTTTATTTTTTACTCTGTAAATGATGTGTGTAGCCAAGCAATATTGTTTTTTTATAGACTGAAAACAATAAGCAGATTAACTCAGATGAAAATATAAGACTTTTGTAAGGCTTGTAACTGCACTATACATATATTTGATTTTAAGTTGCCGTTATCAATTTGTTCTGTTACTCATATCCAATATTGACTGTTTCCTATCTGTGTTGTTGCCTGTGTTTCAGCTTTAACGCCTCCTAAACCCTCGAACCTTCTGAATATGCCTGGTGCCAGTGTTCCCTCGCCAAGTCTCCCGACGTCTGGATTACCTAACAAGCCCCCTTCGTCTTCGTCCTTGACCTCATCCAGCCCTGCCCCGACCAGCACACCTGTATCTCACTCCAGCTCTACTACCACCTCTTCCTCCTGCTCCACTCAGTCCATGTCTCGGGTCGATCTTCCCAAAGAGCGTGATATTGAAAGGCAAAGAGAAAAGGAGAAGTCCAAGGAGAGAGCAGAAAAGCCCCAGACCCCTTCATCCACTGGAAGTACCCCAGCCCCTTCCACCTCTGCTGCAAGCGCCAAAAAGGAGAAACCAGACACTGCTGTTCCTGCCACTTCTATGCCCACCCCTGGAATGGAGTATGTGGTTGACCCCGCTCAACTCCAAGCCCTTCAGGCTGCCCTTGCCACTGACCCTACAGCTCTTCTCACTAACCAGTTCCTGCCATACTTCATGCCTGGGTTTTCCCCTTACTACACACCACAAATCCCTGGAGCCCTCCAAGGGGGTTACCTACAACCAATGTACGGCATGGAGAGCTTGTTCCCCTATAACCCATCATTGTCCCAAGCCCTGATGGGCCTGTCACCAGGGTCCCTGCTGCAGCACTACCAGCAATATCAGCAGAGCCTGCAGGAAGCACTCCAGCAGCAGCAGCGCCAGCTTCAGCAGATCCAGCAACCCAAGATGAGTCAAACCCCAAACAATTCACAGACTGTGGGCAAAGACTCAGCTAAAGAGCCAGTGAAAAGCGAGGCTCAAAAGACCAGTGAGCCCCAATCCACTTCTTCCTCCACCTCTCATAACAAACCCCCTTCTGAGCAGGATGAGGTGGATGGCAAAGCTGTGGAACCCCATCTCGATCAATTCATTGTCGCTAAGGTCCAGTATAAACTTGCATGCCGCAAATGTCAAGCAGTTTTCAGTAAAGAAGAAGCTGCTGTTGCCCACATAAAGTCAAACTGTTTTTTTGGTCAAGCTGTTTCAAATCTGCAGGAGATGTTACTGCGTGTCCCTGGTGGCACAGGCTCAGGTGTAGGAAGTCTCTACGACTGCCTGGCTTGTGAAACTACATTGGACGGGGAGAAAGCTCTCAGTCAACACCTGGAATCGGCATTGCACAAACATAGAACAATCAAGCGATCGGTCAAAAATGCCAAAGAGCACGTTACTAGTTTATTACCTCACTCTTCAGCCTGCTTCCCCAGTCCTAACACCACATCTACCTCGCAGTCTGCCACTCATCCCATCAGCACCCCCCCTCCCACGACATCGGCCGCCATGTCCTCTTCTCCTGTGTCCTCTTCGCTGTGCTCTTCTTCCTCCTCTACCAGCCCAGTCAACACCACAGCCGCTGGAAAAGCCTGGCCCCAGGCAAATTTCAACAGAGCTTTAGCTGGAAAGCCCAATGCCAGTCCCTCCTCATCGTCATTCCCCCCAGTGTCCTCACCTTCAACGGTTACCTCAAGTTCATTGAGCACCTCAGGAGTTCAGACCTCGATACCAACAGACGTCTTTAGTGACGAGTCGGACTCTGACAATAGTCAGAAGTCACTGGACAGGCTGGGCCGGCCAGCTGAGGAGCCGCAGCAGCCCGCCTTTGTCAAAGACAGTAGTAGTTGTAGTAGTACTCTCACTAGTGTAGGAACAGACTCCATCAGATTGTAAAAGAGCTTTCAGTGATGGACAATATTTAAAAAAAAAAATATCAAAAAGACCAAAAAAATATCAAATGGGAAAAACATAAAAAGCAGCAATGTTAAGATACAATTAAGTATACAAACCGATTTCAGAAAAAGATGTGTAAAGACTAACTGCAATTCCAAAGCTTGTAACCAAAAATGTAAATGTTAGTGGATTGTTTTCCCATATCAACATGCTGGTTTTCATTTTCTTTTTTCTTTATTTGTGTTATAAGAACAAACTATACATGCACCCTAACACACAAGAATACAAAAGATTGCAGCAGTTTTGTTTTGGATATTGGTATAAACTAATTGTACAGTGTACGGCCTCAAAGGCGACAAATGTTCCCGAGAACCCTTTGGATGAATGCTGTTGTACCTGTTTTATTCTAAGTTGTCTGTAATAGCACAGCCACCAAAAGCCAGTATGTACTGTATGGGAGAATAGTCTATCCGTTATCTTGCTATTTAAGCATTCAGATACCAATGGCTTGCAAAGTGAATAATGTATTGTCTATTTTATTCTCAGGTCAAGAGCTCACAGCTGTTTTTTGTTACAGTAATTCATGTTTTGCATCTTTTGTTTTGAACCGCCATCAAGCATAACTTCAATTTTAAAATAAGGCATTGTTTTTTGGGCATTCAAATTGGGTAAATAATGATCTTATTTTAGAAGAAACTTGTTAATGGGTGAAACCGCCCATTTCTACCCAAGGACACCAGTGCTGACATGAAAAGTGGAAACGACAGATTGGAAGAATCCTGTATTTATAGTAGTCTTTGCTGTCACACAGTATTTCATTGGGAATAACTTAAAGCTCATGCTAGGATTTCACAGAAAAACCTTGTACATTAAGCGTTTGTATTGTCCGAGTTACGGACACTTGATTTGATGTTGTATTGGTCATTCCAATAGACTAGGTTATCAACAATTAATTTATATGTAACATTTTCTTGGGAAAGCTTCACCCAATGCCCCTCCTGACAAGACAGGATATTCTCTATTATTTAAATTCTGGCTGGTTGGGACTGGTCCAATTGAAAGGTCCTGGGTGAAATCTAATATATTATTTAATTTAATGTGTTACCTTTGTGCACTTATCACTATTTGACTCTCACTCGCTCCTCTCTGGCACTTAGTTTGTTCATCTGCCTTCGTGCAGTACACTACAAAGCAGCTTTTCTTCTTCATGTAGTGTGGCTACAGTATTTGTTTTAATTCCTACATTTTTGTTGTCATAAATGAAAATGAAATGAATAATAATAATAATTCTCACGCTTTAAGACAAAAGAGAATCCAAAGACTGAACACTTTCACCATTGGTGCATAAAGATAAGAGGCGTCTTTATACTTGAGAATTTGTTGCTGTTTTAGAGGAAAGGAAATAAAGTTTAAAGATAAAAAGTACGCATTAGAGTCGCCGTTTGGTGGCTTTTTTACGTAAATACCAAAAACCAAAAAGGGCCCATGTCCTTGCATTGTGGAGTAGCACCGTTACAGAGCCATTGCAGTTTGTAAGATAGAGGTTATCTTTCTTTGACTTTTTGTCACATTCAAATGTCAATTTTCTAAAGAAAATGTATAAGGTCTGGTCTTCAAAGACAAACATTTTGCTGCTAATGTAGAATTTTGAAGAAAAAAATAATACCTAGATGCATGCTCATTTTGCTTTTGGCTAAGCTTTAACTAAAACAATAAACCAATTTCTTGCCTCTGCAACACCTTTTTTCTTGTTGCAAAAACGGAACTTTGAAGACTGTGAATATATGTTCCAAAGGACTTTTTCTTTCTTTTTAAACAGACCAATGTTTAAAGCCAATGATCTATACAGTTTGTAAAGAACAGTGCATTCCAAATATCACTCTGTTTTTTCCTTAATGAGCAAGGACTTAATCTGTTTCGTTGCTTTGATCTGTCACATCTTTTCTCATGTTTCAAGTGACTGTAAACTGTTGTGTCAATAATACTTTGCATCACCTCCATGCAGCAAGGAAACATGGCTGATGCCCCTTGGTTCAGTTCCTCACTTGAACAGCAAGTAAACAGTGGTTACCAAAAATGTATATAATACATTGGTATTGAGGCATATCTAAGTTTAGTCTCCATGTTTTTGATCTCAGAAGGAAAGGCTGCTATGTGCTTGTCCACTCCCTCCCTCACTACTCCAACTCACACAGGCCACTTCTCAAAGGGACATCTTTATTCCAAAGCATTATTTCTGGAAAAGGTTCTTTGAAGATGTCCCTGGGAACATTTAAGGCTACTTTCCATGTCCAAAGAAGTCACAAACTCCATCTTACTGCAATGGAAATATAGTAGTGGTGTACCTATTTTTTCCTCACCCTCAATCTTCCCTGAACCGTTTATTGATAAATCTATGAATAAAAAAGTTTTTATTTTTTAAAACCAAGACATATTTAAAATGTGAAGAACTACTTTTTTGGCCATTCTTGTATAGCTGATATGATTCTCCTGACGGCACAATCTCCAAAGTCTTTATGTAACAAGCAATGTGATTGGGTGTTCCAGCATGCTGTGAAAGTCACTATAGATTAGGTCGACAAGCTTTCTTGAATTTCCAGTCCAATAATATATTATTACTGTAAATCCCTTGTATGTGTGGGTTTCCTTTTTTAATGTTATTTTATATGAATTTATTTTATTTCTGTATATTACTTTTATATTATACATTAATACTAGCTTTAATTTGAATTGCTTTAAACTTAATCAGACCTGGCCACTTTATGGTGTGATCGTTCTTCATACTGATTGTCAATAGTTTCCAATGTGTAAACTTTTGGGCTCCACTTAACATGAACTGTGTTATGAACTGGGGGTTGTATGCTAATGTGCATGTTATTTTTTTACATTGTGATTACTCTGATTTTTTTACACACCAAAACGCGATTAACTACAAAGTTGATATTCCAAAACGTGTTTGTAACCATAGACGAACGAGGAGACTGAAGCACTGAACATTTTGATTTCAAATTCTGAATGTGGCCAAAGCGTTATGCAGTTTGAAACAAAGCGTACAATTCATTTAAACGTGTGCCCGACTTTACATGCTCTTGTGTATACTGAAACATGGCACAAACATACATTGGGATTCTTGATATTATTGAATATTGGGAGGATAAGGCAAGCTATTTGCTGTAGATGCCATCTTTTTGCCCACTGTGAAAATGTATACAGATATAAATATATTTAAAGCAAGACGTCAACGTTTTGGAGATTAAAAAGTGAATGAAAAGTGACTAAAAGGAAGACAGTTTTGGGGATATACAAGAGGACACTCTGAGCTGAAAGACCAGCTCACCTACAGCTTTAAAAACCACCTTCTTGTTTCGGGAATGGACTCTTTAACCAATGAGATGAACTGTATGCCTGGCTGCCTCTTCCCTCTTTCTGCTTGTGCTCTTCTGATGGACGCGCTCTCGTCTTCACTCTGGACATGGGGCGCCTCTTTTTTCCTTCACGTTTACCTGTTTGCTCAGTCCTACACCGGCAGCTCGTCCTCACTCCGTTCATTGCTTCCCCCACACAAAGAGTATTAGAGCAGTGAGGGAGTGAGGGCCGGCGTCTCCAGACTGTCGCACTTAAAGTGGGGCAGTTACACTTAAGAAGCGTATTAACCAAAATCTAACAACAACCAAACTAACAACCAAACAACCATTTTTAGCTCCAAAACCTTCAAAGACAAACTGTTACACGGAGCTGTCTGTTCCTTTTGTGACTTCTGGTGCCACAACGTTTTTTTTCTTTGTTGATTTTGTTTTGTTTATTTTTATTCTTCTCAATTTCTCCTCCTCTTTTGAGCCTCATAAGCATGGCTCTGTGGCTCCAGGCAGCCCACCAGAGGGTAGAAAAAACAGCCTTGCAATGTACAAAAAAGAGCAAGTTAAACCAAAAATGTTGTTCTTGATGTCTTTTCTATACTGTAGTCTTGTTAGCTTTTTTGTTACTGTATATGATGAAGATTTCCAAACTGTACCAAATGACATGGAAACTAACATTACAGACCACATGGAACTTCAGACTTTTAAAGAAACTTTTGTCACAGAACCTTGTTGTCCTAGTTAAGTTGATTGTAGATGGTAATTGAATATACTCCTTTGAAAATATTTCATCAAGTATGTTTCTTGCTCATTGTGATACATTAAAAAATATGAGCGTAACCTATGGTGGCCCGTGACTCGTTTCTGTATCCACTTAAAACACCACATTTTTATCATTTTTATCAATGTCATTTTCATTAAGGAGAAATGCCAATACACCGCGAGAGGCTGCGTGTTCTGACGCACTGTACTTGGACTACACTTTCATTTTATCTCAAATTCCAAAATCACAATTATAGATTAGAAACTCAAACTAGTAAAACTGCAATTGGTCAAATAAGACAAACAGCTTAAGCAGGCAATGCATGTTTATTTATATAGCACAATTTCTACACAAGGCAACTCAAAATGCTGAGCAGAATAAGAACAAAAAAAGGTCATAAATGATCACAGTACATTAGAAAGAGTAACGATAAAATCCCTCAGTTGTCTGCACAGCTAAACAAAACTGTTATGAACCTGGATTTGAACATTGTCAGAGAAGAATCCTGTCTTACATCTTCAGGACGACTGTTCCAGAGTTTAGCCGCATGAAACTGAAATGCGGTCTCTCCCATGTTCAGGAACTAACATGAAGGAGAGATCGACCCTATGGACATGCTGTATATGAGTCTGGGACCGGATACATCGATAAGCAGTAACTATTTCATCTTTGTAGGTATCAGAGTATCAGAGACATTTGAGAAGCAGATGAGTCATTGTCCATGTTGAGCCAGTTAACACACAGGGGCACATATAGGATGAATGAAAAGGGCCATAATTCAATCGGTTAAAAGGCTAAGGCTGTTTCCTCCACAGGTCTGCTCCAGATGGCACACACGGAGACAGTCCAGCCCCAAGTGCATACTATGAAATCGGGTTAGCTCTTAAGTCAAACAAAGCCACTCTACTTTAGCCTCAAGGTGCTATCCACACCTAACTAATTTGGAGCCATATTGAATCATTATGGTTGTGATTCAAAGCAGTTTTTCAACATCATGTTAAAACCAGTGGCACATGTGTCTGTCATAAACTCCAATGATCATCGGATGCACCATCGGTTATTCAACTGTTCGAGGGATTCATTTCTCAGGTACTGGTCGACATGCTCCAATGGGACTGCTTCCACTTACAAACATTACATCTTTGTCATTTATCTGTCCTAGTATTTGTCTTAAGGTTCAAAATGTTGGGCCAGAACAACTTAATGTTTCTGCAAAAGCATGTCTTTGGTGAATGTGGAGCTTGAATGTTTGTGCCTCAAAGAAACGGTAAACTAAAGCTTTGTAATACCATCAACAAACATTGACTATTATGAAGATCATTCAAACTAAGATCACAACATTAAATAGTCTACAAAATGTGTATTTTCAAACTCAATAGGCCTACTGCCAAAATAGAATACTGATGAGAAGAGGGTAATGTCCCTCCCCCACACCTGCACATCTCTGTCCTCATATCTCGTCTCTGTATGAATGTCAAAGGCAAATTACAGCACTGCCTTCAGGAAGGGTCAAACTAATTCAATCTAATCTGTCAGCTAAAGTGATGGCTGGGCCAGGATCAAAGAAAGATGGAGAGATGTGGGTGGAATTCTCATGGAAGAACCACTTGCATTTGAATCAAAGCCCAAAGTTATAAGATTTTAGTCACCTGTGAATCTTTAAGAACCACGAGGTGCTCTCCCCTTTTTATGTAACTGCTTCCTATGAGGCAAATGTGAAACACTCTTTAAAAACAATTAATTCATGTGAAAAGATCACTAATGTAACTAAATTATATGTGCAAAGTTAATTAAGTTATGTCAACACTGAATTTAATTGTAGAAAATGAGTTGGCAGTTAAACGTGGACAAAGGCACTTTTGATGGTAATTGGTAGAGACTGCAGCCAACAACATTTGACTGTTTTTTCAGTTGTTTTTTAATCATACTGTGAAATAACATGAGTATTGCACATGTAGAGCCCATCCAGAGCAGCTGCAACACATAAGACAACTATACATCACTTAAAATAACAATCACAGCAGATATGACTGAGCTTTGTACTGGCACTGATATAAAAGCTACCAACCTTTTTAAAGTCAGCTCAAACTTATATTAACGTGTTTGGTGGTTAAATTAATGTTATTTTTTATTATTAACTTGAATACAAACCAGATGTACCTTTTCTGGAGGAGATGCATCACAAGCATGATGATATATAGAAAGTTAAAACCCTGGAGTTTGTTCCATGGCAGACTGTGGCAGATGGAAACAGGCAGGAGGAGGTGCAGGCCTGTCCACCCACTGGCATCATATTTTATTGTTAATAATGTTTTTTCAACACTTGCTCTGTGTCACGAGTTCTATTCAACACTTTTGTATATAAAAAGAATCAAATATACAGGTGAAACTCCAAAAATTATGAAATATTGTTTCAATATTAATTTATTTCAGTAATTCAAATGTGAAACCAATATGGTGATAGTGGCTTACAATCCTAATTTTCTGAAATGTATTCCTTGTGTTCTTTGGTCAATTATAAACATTATAAAAAACAAAGGATTGATATATCTCACTTTGTGTATAATGTGTAAATTCATTTTTTTGGGACTTTCAGAGTTTCACAAAACCTTTGGATCCCTCCCTGCAGTCACTCTGAAGTGACCCCGGACCCCACGTTGGGAAGCACTGCAATTGAGCAACAACGACTAAGTAGAGGATTAGAAGTTGCACTACTTCCCAGCTCAGGCCAGAGCAGCCTGTGGGTTGTAAATGCCTTCTTCTGACAGTGGGATCAGGTGTCTGCTCCCTCACAGCTCCGTATGCTTTTGTTTAAGAAGACGGCGTTCATGGGAAGAGCTGTGCAGGCCCCGGCTCTGCAGGGCCCTGACGGCGGCCGCATCAGCACCAGTAATTGAATAATAACAGGCCTCCCTCCCACACGTTTCTTAATGAAGAGAGTCTGTGCCGGGAATGTGTTTGTCCCTGTCTGTGTCGGCTTGCCCTCCTCTTTGCTCCTCTTTCCTCCTAATAAATCATTTGTGCAGGCTGAAATACTGGATAATTCTACTTTACATCAAAGTGCTTCTTCTGGTGTCGTTCTTGTAACCTCAAAGTGATGATGCATTAAGACTGTCGTAGCTGGAGTGTTTTTGCCAAAGTGCCGTTGATAATGCCGTGAGAGAGCGAGGTGCGCTACATGAGAGATCAATTATCACACCTCATTTTGTTCTCATATGCAAAATCATAATGGTCGAAACATGTCAGAGTCCAACCATCAGCTTGTCTCTCGACTCTGCTCTAAATGTGTTTCGCAGACTGGCCTCTCGCTGCTAAATGCTTTGAACAGTTTGGAGAGTCTGGTGGGAAAGGGCCTGGATTTTCCTTGATCTGTCTGCAAATGTTCCTCTGTGGAGTAGCTTTAGGAGTGATATAGCAACAGCGTAAAACTGGGACTCAGCAGGAAGTCCAACACAGCACCTGTACACAGCATTCTTACGGTACTGTTTGGACATTGAAAGATTTTCTGTTCAAACTCAAAAGTGACTCCAAAGTTCCATATTTAGTTTGAGTTGTACATTACTATACCTCTGCTTTGACTCTTTTACACGAGCTTCTGTTAAAAATCAAGATGAAGGTGATAAAATGCAGGTTCAAACGTTCAAAAAGAGTCCGGAAGCACTAGTTTTAAGAGATCACATTTCACATATCCAAATTTAATACAATAATTGCTTTGAGACTTGTTCATATTAATATCTCTCTGACTGTTGCACGTCTTTGAGCACTAACCAGAATCAGTTGGAGTGTATTGCTGGAGGACTGCCTGTCAGCCCGGGCCCTGACCCTGGTTGGCTACTATAATGATGGGAAGATGAAAGCAGCAGCAGCAGTCCCATTCCCAGATCGGCCCGCTGAGGAGGGGCCTCAAACGGACACATAATGGAGAACAGGTGTGGGCAGAGCAGAGGCCAGACATGGTTTGGTCAGAAGGAGAGCTCCACTCCACGGTTATATACACCAAAGAAACTGCACTTAACGCTCTTATTTTCCTTTTGGAGAAAATCATATGTCTCATGAGCCACTCTCTGTAATGTTCAGACCGTGATCCAAGTCTGTTGTGATTTTACCTGTTTTTATTCATTGACCTTTTAAGATACCCGCACTATCTTTTCTCCAGGGGATTTTAATATGGAGTTGTCCTGTGCATTAAAGCATGCATCTAATTTTGTTTCCCCATAAATAAGTAAAACATAAAGACTTGTGTGAACAAAACAGACACAGAACGCTGTCTTTATCGCTTCCAAACCATGTTATGCTTTTGCATACTTAAGAAAGAACCCTGTGACTGTGACATTTGGAGCGAAGAGCTGATTGAGGCTGAGTGAGGGTGAACCTTTTTTTTTAACTTTCTGTCTGAAAAAGCTGATCTAAAGATGCGACATAGAAAAAGAATGAATCCAAGAAGGATTTCATTACACGGTAAAAGTGTGGTTTGAAAGTAAAGCTTTTGCTTTAAGACATTTGGACAAACATTAACTGATGCATGCTGCATGCAATTATATATCAAATATATCAAAGTGATCTTTACTCTAACTTTGTTTAGATTCCTGAGTAAAAGTAAAAGTAGAACCAGTTCTTAACATTTTAGTACAAATGCAGACATTAAAACATGTGGAGTGGATAAGAAAGACAACCATGTTATTGCAAACATTTAACAATGGTGAATGACAAAGGACAATATTAAACAATTACACTGTATTGCACATACTCAGATTTTTGCACAATTATAACGCCCTGACTGAACAGATTTAAAGTTTTAACTTCGCCGAATACTCCGCGTACAGGTGACTACCGAGCACCACCACAAAGTTAGTTTCAGTTTCAATAATATTTCACATCAAAGAGTGTTGCTTTAATTAGCAGGCAGATCATCTGTTTCGCAGAACAACATTGGACTCATGGTCGCCAGTTAAAGCGCGGGGACGGAGCAGCGGTGGGAGTTTCAGAGCTGCTCTGGGAGGTCATCACATGTCTATTGAAGACAACACCCCAAATTGCTTAAGAGGAACTTGAGTGAAGATAAGTCCTCATTACAGCCCTGTGCACAAGAGCTTGTTGAATGATAAATATTACACATTGATTGCACACAAATAGAAAGGCCCTCTTATCATCAGTGACTATTGTCTTGCTGATACTATCCTATAATTAAAGCTAACTGGCTCCAACTGAGGCCTTTTTGTCAAGTGAATGAATTGCTTATTATTCCCACATGAATAAGGAGCAATCAAAGCACTGGGCTGAGAACATGCACAGGGTGGTAGTCAACGCTTGTGAATACGAGAACAGTTCATTTGGGTTAGTTAAGAGGGCTTATCTATAGCCTGCAACGGTTATACACTTCATCATTTGCCCTGCACAGAAATAAATTAGAGACCCATTGACACGTACTAATCAGGCCACATAGTATTTATCCAAGAACTCTGACAAGACTGCATTTCAACTTGGATCCTACAATACAATAAACAGCAATAAGAAGCATCAATCAGAAACCTGGTCATAATTGCATTTAAGCAGGACTACATGTGTGTAATTGGAAATAGAAAAAATAAATGAAAATAATGTTGTAGAAAAATGTCTATCACACACTGAAAAGATTAATGTTACACCCACACTGAAATAATAGTATTGTCTAACCTGGGTAAACTGCGGGCTGGGGGCCAAATGCGGCCAGATCCATGTTTCCAGGCGGCCCCTAAACTCTTCCCAGCCATTGACCTAATACTGTTGAATGGGAGTCGATGCCCAAGGAACCTTTCTAACTTGATGTGTGCCATGGCCAAAATGTCTGTATATCCGTCTATAATACTCAGTCTTTCACTTCTCAGCAAGAAGGTCCTGGGTTCAAATCCAAGTTGGAACAAGGCCTTTCTGAGTGGAGTTTGCATGTTCTCCCCGTGTCTGCGCAAGTTTCCTCAAGGTTCTCGGGTAAAAACATGTACAACAATTGTAAGCCGCTTTGTGACTCTGGTCTGTGAAATGCAGTATATTAATAAAGTTTACTTACTTACCTTTAATCCATTTTTGGTTCAATCTAAAAAAAAAAAAAAACCTTATAACTCAAGTAGCTTTCACAGAAAATACCATATACATTATTAAAAGTCAAATTAATCTATGTGGTAAATGCATGAAAATGGGTCCGGCCTTCCACAACTAAACAATATTCAAATCAGGCCCTTTGAAGAAAAATAATTGCCCCGCCCTGGTCTAATAAGTAACGTTTATTGTGACCGTCATATGGTATCACAACACAACAGCATATCGTGTATCCGCTGTCCGCACCGTGTCCACTCTGATTTACACTTGACACGGACTCGCAGCAAGGTCACCGAGCATCCATCTCCAAATTTTAATTAAAATAAAAAGACTATCAAACATACGCATCAAGCCATCTTTGGCACCTTTGCTCCATTTTAATTTTACCAAGCTCTGGCCCACTTGACTGCTGTAACAAGGTATGATGTATTGAGCCCCAGGTGTTGCCATAGAGACAAGGATCCTCTTGCGCTTGTCATTAGGCCACAAACACGCAGTGGCATCTAAAGTCATTGCAGTCAACACAAGACAGAGCTCAGCCTGCATCCTGGACTGTGGAGTATTATGTTATTGTGAATCTAAATATATACGTATTTACCAAAACCTGATGAATGTCACCTTTTGTAAACGTCATGAGAGGAGAGATGGTCCAGACGTTACTTTGAATTGTATCTAGAAGTAAATATTTGTCTAGTGTCAAATAAGAACATTTGATGCAGCTCAATGGACTTAACTTTGCTCGATTTCGATGAGTGGCTAAACAGAGATCACATGTAATCACAATGAAAAGTGACCGCAAATTGACCAGAATATTGGAAATCAATGCAAAGTAAATGTAGTCACAAGTAGAAGTGCTGATGGTTTCTGTGCCACATTCTCACCCATTCTCTGTAATCCACATTACAGAATATTACAATCAGGCAAATTTAATCGTTGTTTCATTTTCCTGGATTATTTTTGGCCTTTGTCCTTCATGACAACATTAAAAAACAAAGTTAGTTTGTAGTGAAATGCCTCAATACTATTAATATTTGTATTTATGCATGCCTTATCTATTCCAATCTATTCTACTTTAACTTTAACTTGTTTGTACCGAGAGCCAAAGCAATTTCCTAGTTTGTGACTTCTTCTTACTCACATGGCAGTAAAATAACTGTGATTCTGACTCTGATTAAGAAAGTTTTATACATCCGAGTTCAAGACAAAACATGCTTAAGCAAGAGGGTAATACAAATTCACAGTTTCAATTATGACATTTCAATTGGAACAAGCAACACTCAAAAACAACCCCAAAGAAAGCCATTCTGTGATTACTTTCCACACCGACCACATTCTGCTGAAGTGAGAGCGAGCGAAACAAGGGTTAAACCCAGTGTAAACCATAAAAAGGAGCTGTTCATAAAATGGAGAAATAAGAAGCAGAAATAATATTTCAAGTATGATTAGTTCATCCGCGGGGCACCTTGTGTGGATAGACGAGGGGAGGGGCCAGCTGAGGGGAGGGGGGCATTGTGCACGGCAAGCAGTAAATTATATCTAGCCTTTGAATGATTCCTGCAGATCTTATTACGACAGCGAGGGTTTGGGGAGGGTGTGGGGGGGGGGGGGGGGGGGGGGGGGGGGGGTAAAGCAGCTGAACAAATCGGATGAATTCTGTTCCAGCTGTCCGAGTGACGGGGTAGAGGAGTGGGTGTTGGGATGGGGGGGGGGGGGGGGGGGGGCACTGCGGCTCAAAAACAATCACTGTCTATAATACATGCAAACATACAAGCAGATTCTTTACAGTGTTTTGATCATTGAATCCACAGGAAGAGTGAGAGAAGCCGGCGTCACCCACAGACATCTTAGAGAGAGCCCGTCCACCGTTTGTCACTGTGCGGCTGATCTCGTTTCTGATAATAAGATGTGCTGCTGCAGAGGCGCACAAACACATGCTTTAATGTCCTCAAGTACACACTATACACAGTGAGTCTGAACAACAAGTACACACATGTATAGTGTGGCCATACCTGCACGTGAACCAGATCCTGTTAGATCGCAGGAGCTAAGATTAAGATGAAGAGATCCTTAATTCGTCCCACAGTTGGGAAATTTCAGTGTTGCATCACAATCATAGAACAGTAGGAAAGAGGAGCACTAAGCAGACATAGTCTGGTCAGTATGTGATGAGAGACTGTTGGGACGACCAGATGCCACAGTGGGGCAGCTGTGGCTGTGTGGCGGTTGTCAGAGGGGCCGAAGGTTCAGATTGGTTGTGTTGCTTCCAGTCTACCTTATCACTGTGTACGGAACGAATGAATTACACCATGTGACGCATCTTTGAGAATCCCAAAAACTGCTGCGTGATCAGATTTAAATGCATCTCTAGGGCAAATAAAAAAGTGCTTGTGAAATAACCAAGACAAATAGTGTGGGGATATTTGTTGTATTCATTTGTCACTTATATAAGGCCTACTTTAATCTGAACTTAATTTTTATCAGGAGACATTTAGAATAAACACAAAGATACAATTATAAGTCTGTTCAGAGGAGGACGAGGAACATTTGATGGAAAGCGAATAAAAAGAATTCTGTGCCCAGTCCCCCACTTTAATTGTAAATTTAAATTCCCTTTAATGGATTCTGACATCTCAAGTCACCAAAATCCATCATTCTGAAGGGTATTATTCCTCAATTAACCTGTCACCCCAGTATAGCACCCACCAGCAGTGGCACCAGTCTGAGTCTCTGCAGGGCCTCTGAGAAATGAGGAAATCTAATTATGTTTAAATATAAAGCAGATTCATAATAATGTGCTATTCTATACTAGATTATTTTGCCTCCTTTATTTTGTTTTAGTAGACTATGTAAAATATCATGGGTGTAATATTGTGGTTGGTCTCAGTCAAAACGCTAATATGCAAAAAATCATGCGCCCCCTCGTACATTTCAATTCAATTTCAATTAATAATAAACTGCAGTATTGCAAATTCCTAAACAATGCAATTCACCCTAGATAAGCTCGGTGACACTTAATTTATGTTTTGTTGCTATTTCTATGGTTACATTGGTTATAATGCATTGTTATAATGGAAGGGGGGTCAACAAAAACCCCACTTTTACGTCGGTCAATGAGGTGACATTTGGTGACCATTCTCTCTCATTCATGACTTTGAGCACAGACGCTACACCACATTTCCCTTAAAGCGCTCACACCAAAAAATTTGTACCCGAACAGGCTCAAAATGGTGACACAAACTAGAGGCGTTTACTTGTCAGTGCAAATGTGTGCCAGAGTAAGTTGGAGCAAAACCTTGTCCTCGAGCACTTCTCTATTGGGCTTCATTGAGATGGGGGTTAGCATTGTCCACCTGTGTACTGTCTATGATGAGGACACAGCAGGAGGCGAGTCTGCTGCTGCCTATTTGAAAAGTGTAGAGAACTTCTGGTTGATGAGTGATGTCACATGCAAGTGATGAAGAACTTGATGCAGAAGGGGGTGGTAATGAGAGCTGCCTCCCAATGCTCAAAGCACCAGTCCCTCACTGATCCTCTGCAGGTGGTGGGTCCACAGGAAGATGGCTACATCAGTGGTGGCACAGCCTTGGTGTTTCAGCGGGAGCTTCAGGCAATGTGGGGTTAAGTGTCTTGCCCAAGGAAACAACAACAGCAGACATTAGTGGGAGCAGGTCCTGTGTTGAGTTCGAACCCAAGACCTTCAGGCCCAAAGGCCAATGCTCTACCAACTGAGCTACTGTCGCTCCTAAAGCCATGTCACCCTAATCATAACAGCTAGTGCTAGCGGCCGTGGGAAGGTGGTCCGAAAAATGTGTTGCGGAATTTGAATACAACCTCCGGCAATCGCATCTTCCAATTGTCTGCTTATAGGTGATGTACATTTGGGATAAAGGCCTGTTTTGTTTAATTATCACCCTGAACAGTGTATCCCAACTTAAATTTCAAAGAACTTTTGCACCTGATTTACTGCACATACACGAAATAACTGCATGTAAACACAAACCTAGGCCCCAAGATGTCTGCCCAGTAGGGTCTCACCACGGAGGCGAAATATCAGCGGTAGTGATCCACTTCGGCCACCTCTGGTTCTCCCGGTCTTGCGCAATTGGTGCATCGTTTGTGGTTCTTTCGCAGACCGAGGTGAACATGTGAGTCTTCTGACAATATGTAGACCGAGTTCATGCCATCGCTACGGCAACACGATAAGAAATAAGAAACTTTTAAAATCTGATTTCCAAAACTAAGGATGCTAAAGACACACTTCTGTGCTCTACTCTTTTTGTTCTCATGATATGATTTTGGATCTCAAACCAAAATCTTAGTTGTTCCACAATGTATTTATTTATTTATTTCTAGCAAGTAAATGGGCATAGAAATAATTAGAAAAAATGTATCACAAGCAACCAAGGCACATTTACAAAATATAACAAAAATGGTAACAATAACAAAAAGAGTAACGATATTAACAAAACACTTGTTTTGGGGAGTGGGGAGAGGTAAACACTTATTTAATCCCACCCTAATTACTCATCACAAACGTTAAAGTAAAGGCTTCCTATTAGCTCCAACGTACATCTAGCACAGATTGCAATATTATGCACATCTTGATCATAAGCAACAATATTTAGTTGCTCTGTCAAAGCTATGTGTAGTCCAATTTCTTCAACATCAAAGTCTGCGATATTTTCACCATGTCCTAGTTTGTATTTTTTCTCCAGTTTAAATACGTGTATGATGGCAGCAGCAACCTCTGGTGGTCTGAGACACTCCATCTGACTGCCAGTTTTATCCCCCTTCCACTTGTACTGTATCTCCTTAATCCAATCACAAATATGTGACTTGCCCACTGAGATACGGCATTCTGGGAGATATAACCAACCTATCAGAATCATCCAACAGGTCAAGGTTCCTGTGCTAAAGGATATTATATGGTATGTTAAGGTGGAAATGTCGATCATACTGTTTTTATATCCCTTGGCAGCTTTAGGTTCTTAAGAATGACATTAATGGTAGTTATGTAGCATTAGCGTGGGAAGAAACCACTTTATGCAAACATACAAATGAAGATGGCATGTGCGATAGTGGCAGAAACAATATTAAACCTTTTTGTTTAATATTATCTTTTCATACACAGCCAACAAGAAGACTGAGACAAACTGCAGAAGACTTCTTACCTCTCAAGTATTTAATAATTTAGACTTGCTGAGGCAACATAATGATCACTGATCAGGCGGGCTTTTAACTTTTACCCATTTAGAGCTGAGCCAGACGAGTTACACGTGAAGAATATAAAAGTACTGAGAATAAAAATGGAGGTCACGCTGATGTTTTATGACAACTCTACAGCACTATACAATTAAATGGCATTTATTTCTGCTGAATTGCTGCCCTTTATGGAGGTTGGGCTTGAAAAGAAATGCTGCCTATCAGAGCAGAAACTTTATTAACCTGGTACAGGGTTACTAAAAGGAAGTGTGCCTTGAAAGCCTGACAGTTTCATCTGCGTTGTTTCTTGAATTAACATTTCTACATCAAAAAGCTCTTTGGAGCTTTAGATTGGTTCATTAAATATTTTAGACAGTGAAGTAAGTATCACAAGGAAGAAGCGGGGATATATCAGCAGTGGCATTAACAGTAGGCTAATTTCATATGTGTGCTTTTAGGCCAGCCATTAATCTTTTATTTTTGTTCTATTTCCCCTTTTCTATAAAATATACAATCAGCGATAGTTTAAAGTTGACAATGTTTCACTGGTAAAGACTTAATTTGTTATTTAAATAAACATGAACGTATAACTTTACAAATCATTCTCTAAAAGTCTTGTCTAGACAATACAATTCTGGATAGATGGCAGGTGGCGTTTTTTTATTTTTTTGGCGTTATGCCGGTAAGACCTCTTGAAGAGGATGAGAGGATAAGTGAGAGAAGGCTTGGACCAGGAGCTGTCTGTTTGTGGTTAGAGGATGTGGTAGACTGCTTGTGTTGGCTGATACTTGATCTGATGTTAATGTGCTGCTCCATGTGTGGGAGGGAGCGAGCTGAAAGTAAGAGAGGGGAAGATGGGCAGATAATCCCGTCTGCCTGATGAGATTGAATGCTGGGATTGATTGATTGCCTAATCATAGGAGGAAATGGGCCTGAAAATGAATGGGACTCTGCCCTTGGCTTGCTGTGAAGCTGCCTGGTTGGTTTGGAGGATGTAAGCTGCAGAAAGACATGTCCTTAATGCGCATAGGACCTGATTTCATTTGTGTCTGATATACAGTTATATGATCCTGGCTAAATGATCAAATAAAAAGCAGAAGAAGGGAGCACGGAAGGGGATGTAAATCAAGGTTTATTGCTGGTGTATTACTTTTTCATCTCATCTGAAAATGATGCTGTGAGGGGAGAGAAAGAATAAAAAAATTCTATGTTTGAATTGATTGGATTTTGTGTAAAATAAATTCATAGTAAAGTGTATGAGTGTGATGCAAAACACTTAATTACCCACAAAAAAAATAGTGGGTAATTAAGTAAACATCCAAATGAGTGCTCATCAAAGGTAAAGGGTAATTTACTGAAGTATAAATTATATATTTCTGCCTTCAGCTGGCAAATTTTCAAGATGATGGTGATCTGACCTTACATTTGTGGAGTTGCTGCGCGTGTTAAGTGTAAGATTTAATGCTGTATTTGATCGTGCAGTGTGTTAAACATCCCCTCTTTGTCTCCCTCTAGAGCCACTAAAATAAACTGCACTTACAGGATCAGGAC